TCTTGGTTTGAAAGTAATCTTTCTAATAGATCTCAATATGAAATTTATAATAGTAATTCCTCAAAATTTTCTTCTATTGCAAACGGCGTACCACAAGGTTCTATCCTAGCTACTCTACTGTTTTTAATTTACCTTAATGATCTTACACATTCTTCTATAAACGATATTGTTACTTTTATTTGTGACAAGTTTTGTTGTGTTTTTTTTGCCCCCAGAATAGGGGTGCGCCTTATACACAGAGATTTACGGTAATACTATCAACAGAAATAAGAGCTCTGAAGCTTAAATGTTTGAGATATTAGATTAAGGTAGGTTTGTTTGAACAACCTCATTTTCAATTAGTTTGGCGGTATATGTACAATAAATATGGAATTTGTCAGATTTTGATGAATTAAATATGAAAATAGGCTCTATCATGTAGCCCCCTTTGCCTTTGACAACTTGCGAAGAGCTGAAGTGGGCTTGAATCAAGGTGTAATGATTTTCTGTTCTTTTTAATTTTGAAAAAGTGTGTGTTTGCTGACCACCCTTCCAGGTTTTGTTTTTGTTTTTCAATATAAACTCTTGATTATTTAGATATTTAAAATATGCATTTGAACTCCAATTTAAGAAATTTTAACAGCATAAGGGAATCAGTCTAAAGATACTTGTCATCTATTCAAATAGCAGTAATTATCTCATTTTATCATTAGCAGTGGGGAAAGGTCCTCTGTTAGCTTGACATTACGATTACATAATTATAGAGAATACTCTGGAGAAGAGTCAAGATCGGAATGCCATTATGCAACACGGACCCTGACTTACCAATTAATGGTTCGCCTCGAGAGGAAGAAAACTCATTTCCTATATAAAACAGAACCAATGAAACAATTGACATTCCTGATACTGGACAAATCGGGTTGAGCTCACCCCTTCCCTCCTGGCCTCTTTATCAAATCTTAGGTTGTCTAACAATCTCTTCTAGTTAGTGCTGTAGCTCGGAATCCAAAACCCGGACCCGGCCCGACCCGGCAATTTTCCAAATTTCTTAACGGGACCCGGAAAGGTCCGGTAACCCGGTGAGAGTTGGACTGAAATAATATTGACTAGATTCTATTTGAAAGCTACTACAAGCACATCTTGTGTGATCTACCGACCTTGTCCTGAATAGAGGGCACATCGCTTCATTTTGTTTATCATGCTGTCTGTGAGTCCAGACATAAGTCCCAGGTCTGCATAAATTATCACCCTTAATCCACTCCCTAAAAAGATGAAGCATACGGCTAGCTACATGTATGTAGGCATCCTAAAAATAGCTCATTTCCCTGTCAGAGTACCCATACAAGATGCTCTACTATGATTGGTCTGTTTGTCTGCCAATTAAAACAATGATCACATGTAAGGCACATGCTACATGCTTAACTGATATTTGCATAATATTTTGCGCATAGCGCTAGCTGGACAAAGGCTGCATGTTGAACCTTTGAACCTTTGAACCCTGTTCAAAGAAACCGCGGTGTAATGTTACACCCAGTTGGGCCCAAGCTGTCTGGCATGCATTAATCTTTGACAGGGATTGTTTTTGTATTCTAAATTTCTGCGACATGATAGTGAAAGAGATATATGAGATGTGAATGAATTTTTGGGGGGATCAAGAGACTCAATGAAAGAAACTTAAGAAAAGAAAACATGAGAAAAACTACATTACGTAAATAATTCTGTACTTTTTTTTTTTTTTTAAGAAAGAAGATCAAATTGATTTGAGGGGGGGAAAAGGTTTAAAACACATTCGGAAGATAAATAAATAGATTTGAAAAAAGGTAGAGATGGAAGGAAGAATGATGATGAAGATAACTTCGTTTTCCTTCTCATCTCTAAAGACTATCAACATTTCACAAACTTATCATTTTTGTTCTTCCTTTATTCTTCTAATCTGGGCTAAAAATAAATTGTTCAATTTAGAGACAGGGGAGAGGATGGACCCCAATAATTATCTTGAGAGAACAAATTAGCTAAATTATTGTTTGCTAATTAAATCCGCTTGTCAGGAAGTATTTTGGTGATGGAATTACTCTTTATTTTAACTCTCTACCGACTTCATCTTAGCCTTTAAACAAGGCCACTTGTCTGATAGACGCCGAGCGACTAAAACGAGACTAATCGCGAAAACCCAAGTGAACGCGAGAGCGAGGAGCCCATCCTAGTGGCCTTTATCAATCTGATTTGGATTTCTTATGTTAACCATTGTTTCCGACTGGAATTCGCTCCAGAAAATAGAGCGTCCAATCAGCGAACGTATCCTCGCACGACGTCAGCATATAGTATCCATCACACACACACACACACACACACACACACAGTAAACTCTACGTAGTGCGAACATGGACCTACATGCTATGAACTATTACGTACGTGCTAAGACCACTGACCTCTACATGGAACGAATCACGAACGAAGCCAACTGGGAGATCGCCGTTCTGATTGGTCAATAAATCCAAAGTAGGCGTATTGGCATGCTAATATGTATCTATGAATAATTCATGCGGAGCAGTGAAACCCACTTCTCAAAAGGCCTCGTGACGTTCCGTCACTCGGTCGCGCGTTCACTCCGGGTATCTAGACTCATCTCAGCCGCTTAGAGTCACGAGGCCTTGTCAAAAGGCTAACTTCATCTCAGCTCAGCCTCCACCTCAAGCATAACAAATTTTCACATACACACTCTCATACACATTATGTAAACTTGCCACTCACTGTCTATCAGCTAGGTCAACAAACTTCATAATTTATGAATCGTCTGTTCTACTGTGCCAGCAATCACTGAACTTTAATTTATGCTGGTTTCACTCTCCGCCCACTCGGGGGAAACTTTCTGATTGGTCAGTACAGTAAGCTGATCAGTCACATCACTTGCAGGCAGTGCCAGGGAGATACATATACACACTTGAACACACAACACAAAATCTATGCGTGCAGTGTGACCCAGTGTCTATTGCAAAGAGAGGTCAACAGATTTAAAAGATCGAGCCATCATGCTGTGTTTGTTTACAATTACTTTTGAGGGTTTTATCGTGATAAAAGATAAGTAGATAACGAACAATGAGCTATTTATAAACTCTTTTTTACTGCCGGGTTTTGTTACCGAGTTGATCCAATTCTGGCTACAGTTCGGCCCGGAACTGGTCCGGCCCGAAATGCTCAACCCGGCGGGTTAGAACCCGGTAAGCCTTCCGGGCTACAGCTCAATTAGTATTTGTTTTTGTAATGCGTAAGTTTGATGTCAGAGGTTTCATGTAAAATTGTAAACAAATGTTCATGACATGCATTTAACTTCATTCTTTTTCTTTTTTTTAGTTAAACAAAGTGGTTAATCAGTTGAGACTACATGATCTAAAGATAGGGGTCAGAAATGTCACTAGACAACAGTTCAATATTTCTTGAAGCCTGTTTGCACTTGATAGGAGAACAAGCAATGGATGTTCATGTCGACTACGTAAGACCTCCTTTGTGAGGATTTCATCACAACCTGTCGCCACTTCCCCATAACAAGTGCTCAACAAGCTAGATCTCCCATCTAACGTGGGTCACTACTATAGATCAGCATGCCTTGTACTACAGTGTATACAGGCAAACACAGGTTTGTTTATGTGTGTCAAAAAGGTTTTGTTAACACCTTCCAATTATATTTGTCATTCATCTAAAAAAAATCTGAATGATATTTTAAAATGTCAATTTATTTTACACTACGGGGTGTCTTTAAATTTTGATTGGCTACATCTTAAAAAGTACAAAGTTGTCCTCATTGAAATTTCATAGGTGATAAGTGAAACTTAGTTTCATTTTTGTACGACATAGAGATATTGCTAATCAAATTCTTGTTGCATTTTTTGACACAGTGGTTAAAATCCCTATGAATTATGTACTGAAGCAAATGCCACTTTACCACTTGTGTTTCAAATCTCCTGGGATTTATTACAGCTCATGTTAATGGGATTTACAGTTTCATATCTCCATCTAGCCTATAATCTAGGCGGAGTGCCGAGCTTTTTTCTTTGCTGCTAGACTAACCCTAAGCAGAACGTCTGATACGGCGAGACTACGAACCGTGAGTCGCGAAGCGGCTCACCGCCTATAATCACTGGTCTAGCTTTAGTCGTTGTTTTTTTTATTATCGACCTTGAATCCGTGCCAGTTTTCGTACGAAAAACTGCCACGGATTCAAGGTCGATAATAAAAGAACAACGACTAACGCTAGACCAGTGATTATAGGCGGTGCGCGGCTCACGGTTCGTAGTCTCGCCGTATCAGACGTTCTGCTTAAGGTTAGTCTAGCAGCAAAGAAAAAATCTCGGCACTCCGCCTAGATTATAGGCTAATCTCCATCTGATCCAGCTCAAATAGATTATGTTTACCTATCATTTAACTAATTACCTCTATCAAATTTGCTGGAATGTATTAATGTAATACCAGTAGAGGACAATTTAAAAACAAATTCAATTGGGGGCCTTTAGCTGTTGCAGAATATTGCTTGTTTTGTGTTTTCTATAACTCTATAGAACTTTTACTTGATTAAATACTTAACTGTAAGCAGAACAAATACATATTTCCTGGGTAAACATGATCCATTACACAAAATATATAGAACAATTATATAAATTTGTTAGTTATCTAAAGTTGAAGTCTATACTATCATTCTGAAATCCCTTTTAGCTTGGATATCCCCACATACAACATAGAATTATGTAGAAACGTCAAAAGAATTAGTATCTAATATAATAACATTTTGGAACCCTGTGAACCATGTACTAAATAATTCAAAGTAATTTGTGTCAAAATTAGCAGGTCACGTTACATGTGAACTATTCTCCCCTTTTTTTAAATTTTGGTATCAACTATCAATTGATATCACTTTGAGGAAATTCAAAGAACACTATTCTATGTTCCTTCTTCCAACTTTCAAAGGATATCTTCCTGGTTATATAAGCTGCGGTGAAACAAGTACCACCACAAGGACAACTACTTACCAGCAATTTGGAGAAGTGCTTCCTGACTGCACAGAGTCCCCGTCTCATTTTTAACACAGCACCTGTAAGACCCAGGGTCCTTCTGGGCCCCCACGCTATCTATGTACAATGACCCGTTTGCTAGCACATACGAGTGTGCATTATGAGTAGTGTTTATCACATGATGGCCAAAGGTCCATACTCTCTCGTACGGCCCATAGTAGCCTGGCGTATCCACCCGACAATCCCATGTCAGGGGCTCCTCTGGAAACGCAATCACATCTTGAGGTTTCTTGATAACAATGTCACTATAAACAGTTGTGCCTGCAGAAAATGAGGGAAGAGAGTGGAGAGAAAGAAAATATATTGTTAAATACCAGAAAGGATACTTTTTCAAAATATTGAAGGTAAAAATATAATATGAAGATCAATATATCAAATTGTCAATACACATGTAGTTCAACTGTGAACCATTACATAATCAATAACAAAAAAGTACTTATAAATTATCATTTCTTTAAGTCAAGAAAACTAAAAATGCAATCAAGTACCATAGTCTATGGGTATATTATCGGTGAACATTTCTCACATGATTCACTGGCTTATATTTTGTTTAGAATATAAACAATGCTCATACAGCCCAAAATCCATCTTTCTACACATCTGATTTGGTAAATAAACTTTTTCACAAAATACATCATTCCTATTTTATAAATATAGAGAAAGGCCTATATGATTTGTGGTTGAAATTAAAAGAATACCATTGGTTTTTCTTTTTTTCTAAAGAGAGAAAGAGAGAGAGAGAGAACCTCTCAGGCAATGTTTCACAAAACAAATTCAAGAACGAGTTCACTGACATCTCATGTATTAATCTGAATACATATATTTCAGTGGGGTGTCAGCGAACTTGTCATTATGAGTGTTTCATGAAACGCTGCCAATGTCTTTACTATTCCATCATCTTTGTATTGTAAAGAAGGAGAAAGCTAATGCACCATATTCCATAGACCATGATTATTGTTGAATTCTTATTCTGGTTGTAACTCATGACAGAGCAAGTTCTGACTTCCTGATTATGAAGAAGGAGGATGAGGCATGGATTAGCCTCAGAATTGGCATGCATCACCAGTGAGGATGACCCCAATGAAAACAGATAGCTTCCTTCTATTGCTGAGTGACAAAAAAACTCTGCTCCTCGCTTCTTGCATCTGGATTATTTAAAACTACTATGTCATTCTCTCACTTTTATTTCACCACAAACTTGACAAACGGACAAACAAACAAAGTATACATTGTAGCTGAATGTACAAAAAGAAGTTCACAGAGTTCTGTCCTTTAGGACAGTTATTATCATAACTTGCACAGGGAGGAATCAAAATGAAGATCAGGAAAAACTACATGTAGAAGGCAACAACAACAAAAAAGGGGGAAAAAAGGCAATTTCTGGTACTTAAAAAGCGACCCAATATAATCAGTATATTTATTTCCATTGTACATGTATATGTTGCGTTCACATAGTATATTTTTTCAATACGATTTCAGTTTATTTCCATAAGATATGTATTGTGTTCACACTGCCAGTGAGACAAGGGCCCCATACAGGTAATCCCTAGTGAAGAAAGAAGAGATGAATCAGCAGGTCTCTACACCACCTGGATGCTATTTCACAAACACGACAGAACAGTTCCAAAGATGGAAACAGCCTGCCTAGCTAGCTAGCGATTACCGTTACAATAGAGTATATTAACCTAGAAATTTTTGAGTTCACAGATGCAAATATCTCCTGCTGCAAGCCAGGATGTTAACGATATGTAAAAGTTCATATGATTTACTGCCCTTTTGGCTCTCAGCAATTTTTATTACAATTATGGTTAACCGTCGTACATGGAATTTGAAGAGTCTTTGGAGATTTTATGGTAAATAAAATTGATCATCGAATAAATGATTCATAAACCGGCTTCCGGACTGTCTTTGTACAAAATATGTGTAACATGCTAATAAAGGTTATTTCAGTTTATTAGAAGTTCATCAGTTCATCAGGGGGCTAACAGAAATAAATGCAGCCTACATGTTATCCGCTATATTGATATTTGTCAAAGCTTACTAAATTTAACCGAACTTATTGGTCACGTAAACAAAATAGAAAAACAATTGGCATTAAACTGAATATCAAAGAACAAACAATGCTTTTTTACAATGCTTCATTGAAAGTCTTTTATTTTTAAATAAATGTTTACACTCCTACAAGAATATAACATACAAATGAAATGATAAGTATTTCAAATTATGACCATGGGTCTGAAATAGTACTAGCTTGATTTCCTTTATCTTGAATTTGCTCATCACTCAGATGCCTTCTTCTACAAAAATTTGTTTAGTATATTTAATTTTAGCGTTATGCACATGTAGTATGTAGTAACAATGCTTTTTTACAATGCTTCATTGAAAGTCTTTTGTTTTTAAATAAATCTTTACACTCCTACAAGAATATAACATACAAATGAAATGATAAGTATTTCAAATTATGACCATGGGTCTGAAATAGTACTAGCTTGATTTCCTTTATCTTGAATTTGCTCATCACTCAGATGCCTTCTTCTACAAAAAATTTGTTTGGTATATTTAATTTTAGTGTTGTGCACATGTAGTATTCAATATTCAGAGAGCATTTGTAGGCATTTTGTTTTGTATTGACTCATAGGAAAATATCACATACAAGAGAAAGTACATGTACATGTAGATGTACATGTAGTATCATCTCATATGTTCCAATAATCTTCAAAGGTTCTGTATAACATTAAATAGTGATGTCCTGATAATAACCAAAAAATAGCATACAGTTTAGACCTAATTAACGGTAATGATTTTCAGAACAATGGTTTAAACCTATGATTCATCAGAAGATCTGTTGTTTGCTTTGATAACTCAGCTCGTGGGATAAAATTCAAGAGCCTTTTTTTTCCCCCTCTCTTCTTCTTTCTTCTTCTTCAAAATAACTTTATTGACATGGGCTTATCCATCTAACTGTGGACAGTAATATGCAAATTAGTCTAGATCCTACTTCCCATTGACAGTGTATAGATTATTTCTGAGTGCCCCCTTTTGAGTGAGTAAATTGCCCTTTGGAAGGGTCTTCCAAGAAGGAATTCTTATCACTCCCCCGCTTGAGCTTATGGTACATCCTCTAGTTACCTGCATACCTTTCATAAATATGCAGGCCCACTGCAGAGGGTGTTATGTAATATGATGCAATCATCTCTTATTCAACTACAGGCCAAGCCTATCTGGCCACAGGATCTATTGTCCTGTTTGCCTTGGTATTAGCAAGTTCAATTGTGATAAGAAGACTGGCACTGGGCAAATAATAGAACCTCTTCTTACTTACAAAACCCATGGTCCAACAACTTACTCACAGGGCTTTCAATAGGCTTTGTGGATGGGCCACAGCATTTGCTGTCAGATCTCACTGGATAGAAGGGCGTCAGAACTGAAGTACTAGTGTAGGGGGGGGAAGTGTAGAACATGTATTGTGGGCTACTCACAAAAGTGTGTGTGTTCATGTACATGTGTGTGACTCTGTTCTCACTCCTGTTAATATTATGAAATTAATGAAACCCACCAACAAATAAACTCTTCCTGATATCAAAAAGTCAATGTTTACAATAATACAATTATTAATAGAGAAATCGACCCTGGTATTACATGTAAGTTGGTTTTAATGGAAACAGAAATATAAGAATAACAGCTCAGTGAAAGTTTGAGCAAAATCAGATTAAACATAAGAAAGTTGTGAATTTTTGAAGATGCGATCAATCAAACATGAAGTGGCAACTTTGTGACATGTGTCTTGCGAGACTCCCTCCTATTTGCTCTGTACAAAAAATAAAAGAATGTTATATAATAATTGCAAATAGGTTTTTATACAACCCCTGTATTAAAAAGTTGTTTACTGTCATCAATAACCAAGAAAATTAATGTTTATTACATTTCTGTACAGAGCATATTGAAGAGGACATTGCAAGATACATCAGTGTTGCCAATTTGTGTTTTACCAATGACAACACTAATAAATTCAATACTTTCTTATTTAAAGTAATCAGATTTCACTGAAATGTTCCTCTCAATGTTATGGTAAGCTAAACTTCAAGTTTGTAGACTTAATGTGGATGTGTATGTAGCTAATGTAGTTTGCAAAATTCATTAGAAGTGACACAAAGTAAGACACACAAGTAGAAAGCTTGAAGATTAAATAAAGGGTGTCGTGACATATGGAATTTATCCACGCCTTAGTGCTAATTAGATTAGAGCTGACAAGTCACAATTCCCACCCTGGATAATAAGATAAATTAATTAAAAGGAAGAGGACAACCCTACTTCCTTGCCGGTAAAAGGGATTGGGGCCCTCATAGAGTACTTGTAATCATTTTTTTGTGTGGTCCAATCAGTAGATTTACCGGTATATGCATGTTTAATTCTCGCTATCGCCAATGTAATTTCGAGCCTCTTCCAAGACTTACGAACTGCCAGTGTACGCGTGAATACGGCACGAGTGCGGAACACAAATTATGTTTGCGCAATATACGTATAGGAAAGCTGCCATGACTTCCTTGGATTTTTTTTTGAAAGTCCATGATTGTTCGAAAAGAAAAACTTGGGGAATCCCACTACATGTCCATCATTTTGTAATTGTTCTTTGTCAAAATGATACTAACAGGGTCAAGATCGTGCAGTGATTTCAAACTTGTCTTGCCTTTTGGAGCAACCTTTTTAGACCGGACGGCACATTACAACCGCACAAAATAGACCGGAAGTGACTACAGTATGTCACCAAGCTATCCCAGAGTGCATTCGAAATGGGAGCATAATAATAATAATAATAATATAGAGTATTTTTTATGTGCCAACTCCACATGACTAATGTATTCGAGGCACAATGGAGAAGAAAAACCACAAGTACTTGCATGAAACTAAACAACCGGTCATTTGGGGGTATTGGCGATAGTGAGAAATAACAATAGCACCATTACCCTTTCATTAAAATCAGAAACACATGAACTTCAATATGAAATTCACAAAAGCAAAAAATGAGCATTAAGCAAGACTTGAAAGGTAAATGATCCTAGTATAGAGGTCACATTGTGTTATTTCAAGCTGGAAATGATGTGTAACCACACATGTCAAAATTGATGTGATTAAAACCACAAAACAGCCATGAAAGTTTCATGTCTTAACAGTTCCTGGTTTTATAGTAGTTGTCAGAATAAATCTATAATGCAGATAGCGCTATAATATATTATTTTGGTTCTTCTACTTCTTCACACACA